TTTTATTTTATTTTATTGAGATAGGGCCTCACTCTGAAGCCATGCAGGCTTCACAATTAAAACAATTCTTCTGCCTCAGACTCCAAAGTGGTAGAATGAACAGGATACACTTCCGTGTCTGGTTTTGGATAATGATTGTTTTAGGGTTTGCTTTAGTGTTCTTGGTTTTTATAGAGTCAGGGTCTCATGTAGCCCAGGCTAGCTGGGAACTTGTGTGTAGCCTAAGATGACCCTGAACTCCTGATCCTCTGGCTTCCTTCTTCCCAGTGCTTGGATTCAGATAGATACCACAGCACCCAGTCTGGTTTTGCCTTTGATACAGGGTCTCCTGTAACCCAAGCTGATCTCAGATTCATTACTGAGGTGGGACTACTTTGGAACTCCTGCTCTTCTGCCTCCATCTCTGGAGTACTGGGATGCCGGGCAGATGCTGCCACAGTCCAGCCACAGGTGCGTTTGTTTGATTTGATTTTGGGGTTTTGATATTCTGAGTTTGGGCCTCACATAGCCCAGGCTGCTCTTGATTTTAGTATGTAGCCAAGGACAACCGTGAGTTCTGGATCCTTCTGCCTCCACCTCTTGAGGGCCAGGATCATAAGCATATGTCACCATGCCTGGTTTTATTCAGGGCTGGGGATCAAACCAAGGACTTCACACATACCAGACAAACACTTGGACAACTGAACTAGTTCCCGAGCCCACTGGAGAAACTCTGAACAACGTGTGGAGTAGTCCACCGCTTTACACACTGGCCAGCAATGCTTAAATGGGCCAGCTTTTGCTGTATCTAAAGTCAAGTTCACAGCCTCAGTGTCAACTGGATTGATGTCATTCGGCCTCTCCCTCTGTGACCCACAGCAATATGTTATCTTTTGTAGGTTGACATAAGGGCCTCATTTTGAATCTGCTGTTGCCATTGTCTTTGCTATTGTGCTAGGTGTACAGTGTCGAGTACCTCCCATGCTGTTCTTAAAGCAACCCTGACTCCCTCAGCTGGGGTTTGCCCCAGTGTCCTGAAAACTGTCCATGTGTCTGCAAAAGACTGGGGATCAGGTACACATCACCTGTCACCTGTGGTGACCAAAATGATGTCATCTATACCTAAAGGCTATAGACAACCGAGCCACTCAGGGCCACTTGGATCCCTGTGCCTGCCTCATGCTTGAGGCACCTGTCCTGGGGTAATGGTTGCAGTTCTTCCCTTGACAGCTTTGATCCACTGTGGAGTCAGAAATACAGGCCCCAGATCCAGGTGTGGCAAGACGCACTTATGACCTCTGCTGTCAGATGGAGGCAGGAAGATGGGAATTTCAAGGACAACCTTGGTGACCCAGAGAGTTCCAGAGCAGTCTCGGATAAACAAATAAAATTTCAGGCTCTGAAGCTCAGATGGGAGGCTGCTCGTCTGCTGTGCCTGAAGCCCAGAGCTGCATGTGTGACACATCACAAGCTGGCCATAGTGGTGCGAGCCTGTCAGCTCTGGTCTCAGGAGTCAGGAGGACCAGAGGTCAAGGCAAGGAAAGCCTGGGCTACTGGAGGCCCTGGCTCAAAAGAGCAAAACGGAAATCAAAACAGATACAAGACTCACCAATGAATATATACAGTGACAACAGTTTTAGTCTCTCACAGAGGCTCTGTGTGTGTGTGTGTGTGTGTATGTGTGTGTGTGTTTGTGTCTTTGTGTGTCTGTGTGTGTCTGTGTGTCTGTACAGACTCTATTCCTTCTACTTTTGAATAACCTTTACCTGGGGCTGGAGCACACAAGACTGATGGAATTAACTCTCTGAGGGTTGGAGAGATGGCTCAGTGGTTAAGAGCTCTGACTGCCCTTCTAAAGGTCCTAAGTACAAGTCCCAGCACCCATGTGGTGGCTCACAACTATCCGTAATGGGATCCAATGCCCTCTTCTGGTGTCTGAAGACAGCTACAGAACTCATATACATGAAATAAATGAAAAAGAAAAATTTAAAAAAAAAGGAAAAGAATTGACTCTCTGAGGCGGCCTGTCAGGGTCTGCCTGTTCTCTGTGAAGGAACAGCGGCGGCTCCTGACTGATTCTGCCCTACCCCCGACCCCACCCTGATCTCTCTGGGACAGCTCACAAAGAGCTTGGAGACAACTCTTAACAAGAATGCACAGGAACTCTGTCCTCGCATGCACAAGAGTACTGAGAGTTTGGAGGGGCCGGTGCTTCCTCCAGGAAGGTACCTCAGGGAACTCTTCACCTTTCCTCTCAAGGGAGCCTCCCCAAGGAACAGTCAGTGTGATCATCCTGCCTCCTACTGATGAAAGATTGTTTCGGTGTGTGTGTGTGTGTTTTTCCCAGGTGTCACATCCAGCAGACTTCACGTGATCAAGTTCCAAGCCCACAGACCCACCAGGGGTTTGGTAGGCTGCTATGACGGTATGAAGTATCTGGGCACTGGGGTGGGCTGTGTCTCGAAGTCATCAAGTGACCCTCTCGTCACTTGTGATAGGGCGTCACTCCTCTCAGGCCATGTCTGTGCATGCGTTTAAGGAGCAGGGGAAAAGGCTTAGCCATTCCCATGGCCCTCCTACCTTCCTGACGGAAGAGCCACCAAGGAAGTCAGTCACACATAACTAGTGCCGCTCCATTGAGTAGTTAGGTACACTACGTCATGCCTGTGGGTAGACCAAAATGAGTGCTCACCACAGAGCAAGTGGTTGGCCTGCTTACAGGCTCAGGTAGGGATTATATGAAGATTCTCTGTGTCACAGCAAGAGTGACATCCCTAAAAGATGAAGGAGCCCCTGGAGCATTGATACCTTAATTACTACTGTGGGTTCCGAACACGTGGGCCAGTGGAACTGGCTGCAAAGGCCCACCACCCTCAG